CACCCATAAAAAAAACACATAGGATTCAAAAAACTCTTCTCCAAACACATAAGATTCAAAAAACAACCTAGACATAAACATATTTGAAGAGCAGTCAGGCAGAACTCTTCCTTTGCTCTGAGTTGGATGATGAGTAGCAGGATGGAGCAAAAGTGAAAACATGTGAGAGTGCACATGTATTTTAATCTTGGACCGGTGTTGTCCAGTTGTAGGGAAAAGAAGATTTTTGACCAGGTGCCAACCAAGAAAACATACGCAATTACTCGGAGCATTCTCCGCATGCTGTCCAACATGTCTACATAATTTAACAACAAACAGTCAGGGTTTTGAGGTAGACTTAAGCCCTCAAATGACCATGACTTACGTGATTGTTTGACCTTGTTTGAACTCAAGATTTGGCAGCCTTCCCTGGTTTTTTCTTCTGAATTCTTGTGTGAGTTGATAACGGAATCAGTATCAATGGCTTGTGCCTCTTGCACTTGGATCAGGCGGCATGTTTGAATCGGGAGGCATGTTTGAATCAGGTGGCATGTTTGTATCGGACGGCGATATTGTGTCAAGCGGTGTGGGCGGTTGCCAAATGGTTGAAAGGGGAAGTACTCTAACAATTGGGCTGAGAAAAGCATGAAACATTAATCCAATTTGTATACATAACAGATCACAACTTCATGCTTACCATTGGCTCCATATGCCGGACAATCAGGGTTACAATTAGTGTGGATTTTGGGGTTCAAGGTATGGCTTTTCACGCTGGATTCATTCAGGCAACAGTGTTGATCACAAGGGTTCTTGCTATATTTGAGATCACTGCAAGTAGGTAAGTAAGGACAAGCATAGTGGGTTGACATCTTCCGTATAGGAGGATGTTGATACGAGGGGGAGATGAAGTACGTTGTGTGGAAAAAGATGGGATTTTCAGGATGAAGAGAGGCAAATTTGGATTGCAATGACTGGTTCCAGGTACTCCCAGGACATCTGTTAAATGAGAACCCTCCTGCCTGTGTGCAAAGTCCCCATGGGCTTAGTTGTAGGTATCAAAGAGTTGGAATTCCTAAGCAACCACTCTGATTCAACAAGGTCATTAACCACGCTGATTCAACGAGGTGGTCACACCTCCCCTTGATTTTGGCTGTACAGCAAGTCTAACTTAGCTCTAGCTGAGTCAACAAGATACCTCTTATTTATGTACAAAAAAAGTCACTCTCAGAGGTGTTGCGCGCCCAAGTAACACACGGTGTAGGACTCCTGGGACGGATAGACACGGTAAAGTATATGTATATCAAAAGATCCCTTGAGGGGGAAATAAATTGCAGATAGGTTGAAAGGCTATTACAACTTACGGGTGGTTTGAAAGACCTGCCCCTCTAAATGTACTAAACAAATAACTAAGAGTCTTGTAATCAATATTTAATACTGTATGGCTGATTCCAAGATAGATCTTACTTTTGTAAAGTAATCTCTATCAGACCTAGATCACGTATCAATCTACTAATGAATCTGTTACAACTTCAGGTTAATAATGGAAACTGTGGTGCTGATGACTTGAGCACGAAACAGATGAGTTGTTATAGAGTTTGTTAATGATCTCTTCCTCGAACAATTTCTTGCTAAGGCACTTTAATCAAAAACTAGAGCTCCGGTACTAATACTACTACTACTTGTTATTGGTTAATTGTTAATGTACTACTACTTATATGACGACTACTACTACTAATATGCTTCAAATTCCGAACTCTTTGTTGGTTTCTCGCTTACAATACTGTACTAATTCACTACTTATCACTAACTCACTCACTTACTAACTTATTCTTCAACTTGGGTGATCGAACTTACTTCCGTAGGTTGATGGGGAGAAGGGACTTTCTGGTGGGGAGAGGCCCTTCTTTTATATTGAAGAGTGAGGGATTTCTGCTGCAGGGGACTCCTTGTGAGGGAATATTGCTGCAGGGGATCTCACCTTCACAGCCTTTGCGCACAGCCTCCAAACAAATAGCGCAGCTCATGCTGTGCTAGGAACACTTAACTCCAGACCTTGTCACATAATATGCATGCAAGGGAGCACACAAGCGCAGCATGATGTCATGCATTGCCAGGCAACCAAGCCGTCTTCTAGAACATTCTGCATAGGCAGTACCAGCCTGCCAGCCCTGCTGTTATCTCCTTCCACCCAGGATTTGGGGGTCAAAGCCTCTCCTCACTCCGCCTCAATATTTTCCTCCCTTCACTTTCTACAATCCGTACCCTGTACCCTTACGTAAAACATAAAGTACCCTTATTACACACCGCTCCTCCGTTCCATTCCTGGTTGAGACATGTTCTCCCACTCCTCTCCACGTATATACTTCTGCTCCTCCGTTCCATTCCTGGTTGAGATATGATCTCCCACTCCAATCCTCGTATGCACACCGCTCCTTTGTTCCATTCCTGGTCGAGACATGTTCTCCCAATCCACTCATTGTATGTAATCCTGTCCGTATATACCACACCTCATCCATAATGATTGTTCCTTCTCTTGTAATGATTGTCACATGTATGTACCTATGCTATCCCAACACCTCTGCTGTATGCTTTTGGCATTGGAACAGGCACAGCACACCACAACGGTGTGGAACTACTCTTGGGATGAATGGAGCTGGAGAGGGAAAGATGCTTTAATGGGCTGCCTCTCTGGCAAACTGGGTTGAGTAAGATAACAAGAAAAAGATAAGAGTGTGGACTCTTAAGGAAAGGTGTGGCTTTGGAGAATTCTTGAGATGGGTATGTCTTCTGTCTTCTGGTCTTCTGTCTGAATAATACTAGTATCCCAAATGTTGATGGGCAACTACTAGGCTAATGAAGGGTGATCAGTTATCTGGATTGCTGGGGCAGGATCTGATGAGGAACAAATGAAGAGGGGAAAACAAGGCTTCTTATATACAAAATCTGGGGAGTGGCCAGCTTGTGGTTGGAAACACCATGGAACAAAATGGAACAAGAGAAAATTATCAAACTGAAACAATGTGGCCCAATTGGGAGGCACTAAGATGAATGGAGGAAATGACATCAGAGACATGCAGGGATGAAATGTGCCACAATCAATGAGGGAGGAAGAATATACCAAAGAGATGAATGAACTAGCCAAATGTGTACTAGTGTGAGACATGCAGATAACCCAAGAGGAATAGTGTGAAACAGTGAAATGTGGCCCAAAGTGGAAATGAGGCTAGAGTGAAAGTGGAATAGAATGAAACATATGCAGTGGCCAAGTGTGGAAGGCTGAATGGGGATTGATGATGTAAGACTGCATAAGATGATTATGTAATAAAGAAATGAAATGTGAATCCAGAGTGTCTTCTGTCCTGGGGCTTGGTCTTGTGACATTCATGGTGTCGCAGGCTGACTGAATATTCCAGAAGGGGCTTGTCTTGATCATTGAGGGTCTTGTCATTCAGAGGGCTTGATATTGTGCTTGATGCTTTGATTTTGTGGGCCTCTTATTCAAGATTGGCTTACCACATCCACCCCCAAATTAGATGATGACCCCATCATCCAAACAAAGAAGAGGGAAATCTTGAATAAGAGGGTCAAGGGAAATGAGCCAAAAAAGTGGAACACCAAATATGGGACACAAATTAATTAGGGGGTATCAAATATAATCAAATCCACCATTATTTAATTAACTGGTTTGAAAAAATCCACCCTGTTTTAAACATGTTGATTCTTCATTCAACCCCTTTTAGGGCCCATTGATGCAAAAAATGTTTTTGGGAAAAGTCACTGGTTTCTAAAGGTGGATTTCCTATATTTGATACCCCCTATTTACTTAATTTCACATAGGAAACACAAACAAGTGGAAAATTTACCAATGGTGAGAGAAGGAATATTTCAGACACAAAAGGAGTGAGGAGGTAGAAGGAGAAGAAAAGAGAAAAGGACTAGGAGACAGGCTGGTTGTTTTTGAGGAAAGGGATTGGTTGGTTTTATCAATTTATTCTAAGATTTTTTTTACATTTTTATTTGTAACCACCCCCAAATTTGTATCTTGGAGGGGTGGGGAAAGAAGATGACAAGAGGGGGTGAAATCTGTAGGAAGTGAAAGGTCAGGTAATTAGGGTATTGTTTTGGAGTTAGAGTGGTTTGGGTTTTAAATTTCTATAACTTCTCATCCTTTTTTTTTTTTTTTTTAACTTATCCGGCGCAGAAGTATCAAGGATGACCGTTCTTTATGGCTCATAAGTCTATCCTGAAGCACAATTCCATCCGCGCACGTTCCGTCCAAATCTTCTGCTGCGGCCGCAGCGGTCTTGTAATCAGAAAAGTGGATGATGGTGCCGGGGTTCAATTGTTTTCGTGGAAGAAGGAAGCAATGGTCAATTTCACCATAAGTGGCTAAAATGGTCCAAAGGTCCTCGGTAGTAGTTCCTGGGCTAAGGTTGGCGAGCTCAATTGGCCAAGGTAGGGGGGCATGGAAGTAGCGGACAGGGGATGGGTAACAGTGTGAGCTCTGGTCGTGCATACTTTAGATTGACCTTCTGCGGGTAGGCGGGGCTCTGTACTCGGGCTCCCAGTGAATTAGGTAAAACAATTTGTTTCGGTTGTAGCGCCGTCGTTGGCGCCGTTCAAACTCCTGACGCAGCCGCTCCGAGTCAGCCCAAAAAGACTCCAGAAACTGGTTCCAGCATTTGTTGGACGCGTTCAACCTGTCTATTGTAGCCTGACTGATAAATGAAAATTCCCGAATTGGTAAGAGCAGGTCGTCCTCGCCCAATCCTCTAGTTGTAACTTCTTGTTTCATCTCAAACGAGCACAGCGTCTGGGGATTGTGATCAAAAGACGAGGAAAGTTATGCACCAGAAAAAAAACAAAGGTATGGAAGCGGAAAAGGAGTGCCGAGAATGTTTGAGGCCTGCTGGAAGGAGAGCGAGACAAAATAGCGGCCGAGTCGTGGTTGTCATTACTTGGGTATAAAAGCAGGGTCGACAGCCTTGTTCCCTGCCAGCAGTAGTCAGCTTCCTGTAGTCATGTCTCATAGTCCCACCGAAGTCAACGCTGCCACTGCCCTAGCCGACATGTTAACAAACAACAGCCCACTATCCTCTAGTTATTCTGCTGTTAGTCGCGTATCCGTGGGTATAGATGATGGATTCACGTTGCCGCCTCTTGTCGAGATCCATCCTTCAGCTTATCTTCAAGCCCACACCGGCGCTATCTTAGACGTGGATGCAAGCACTAACAAGGGTCTGGGATTTGTACCCCTGTTCAATGCCGCGCCGGCCACGCCGGTGTCGTTATCAAGTGATCAGGAGAAGACGAGCTCAGCCCTTCTGACTCCGACGAAGACTCTCATTTACAAACCCTAGTGGACACTTCCGCAGAAGGTGCCGACCGTCGTCGCAAGACATACTTACAATCTAATGCTACTTTGATAGTGTCTCCCACGCCCAGCAAACAATTTTTCTTTGGCTGTGCTACACCAGAGTCCATCAAACCAGCAATGGTGCTCCCCAGTTACGAAGAAACGGAGGACCCACACCGCCCAGCAGAAAATTTAATGTCTCCCGGACCCGACCCAGTTGATTATTTGGTCATTATTCCTTTGTCTCACAGTTACCGTTTGCCTTCAGTAGTTAGTTTCTCTGACTTGCCGGGGAGTGGCACCACCAATTCTCCCTACTATGTTAACACACCGCCGCTGTGGTAACCCATCCCTTTCCAAAGCCCCTATTATTTCACTGTATATTCACTTGGTTTTCCTTCATTATTATGACATATTCAGATTCTACACCCAATTTTATATATAGTCACTCACTCAAGCCATATTTCATTTCTTACTGGATCAATAGTTATTTTCATTCTTAGTTTTACAGATATTTTTCTGTACATTTACATTACACAGTAGCTACATATGATACATATTTACAGATTGCTTCATACATCATATCTTTCTCAAGTACTCTCATTTACAATTATTTGTTCTCATTGCATCAGCCACATTCTTCACAGTAGTTGTTTCCCATTACATATATCAGATATTTTCTCAGATACTTTCTTTACACTCATTATTTCACATGTACCCTTCAGGATAACAGTAGTACACTCTTTCACAGCCCTTCTCCTCTTTGGGTTTGTTCCTCTTTACTCATCCTTGTTTTCTGTTTACATTCTCATCTCTTATTTCTACATATGTACATTTCTTTCTCATAACCAGAATTGCCACAGTCTGTGCTCATTTGTATCTTAGAGTATATAAGTAGTCCCTCTTACACTTGTACCCCCCCCCCCCCCAATATATACATAACATAGGGAGAATATAGATAACAATACATACTTTGCCAGAAATAATTTAGTCATATTTTCTTTTCCCCTCTTTTGCATATTTTGCCCCTTAGTGACCCCTTGCATACTTTGCACTCATTCCTCAGAAACCTTGCGTATTTTGCACATTATCCTTTGACCACCTCTGCATATTTTGCTCATACCCTCTGAACCTTAATCCTCACTCCACAATCCTCCTTCCTCATCACTCCTCATTCACTCAGTGGTATTATCACTAGACCTTGATAACACCTCCCTGTCCTAGAACTCACTAAGAATTACTAGAATACAAGCCACACCTTTCTTCTTTTTCTTAGTGTAACTCTTCCCAACTCCAGCATTGTACAGGAGGGCAGCCTCAACAGAACCCATAGCCTCAACTTACATTATTCGTAGTGTAGTTGTCTATTTCCCCTCCAAGCTCTGTTTCTGATTGTTCAGCAGTTCCACACCGCTGGGGCTCGAAGACAAAACAACCGCCGCCAATCGAGGAGCTTTTTACGCTGAAGTAGTCCGAGAGAGGACTGTGTGGACTGTGCACCACCGTATAAAAGAGAGATTCCACGACTATTTTCACATTCTTGACTCCTTTCCCTACTGTACTGCTGCACGCACCGGGGAACGTCACCGCTCCGCACGCCAATGGTTGTATTGCGAGGTGATGGACGAGATGGATTTGGTCTTGGCTGATGTGGATGAAGTGACCATGCAACATGTCAACTAGGTGAGTAACAGAAAGGAGTGTTTTGAGCAAACTAAAATAAACTACTAAGGCAGAGTCGATGACTTGTCAATCAATCACAGATGGGCTGACTGGTCATGAACAGATGAACTGGAGAAGGCCTCCTCCTGGTACGTTTTTAAGGCACACTAGCTAGAACTACATAGGGAAAAGAATCCAATAGGGGAGCAATGACTAAAGAATTAAAAGGAAATGAACTATAACATGATGTGGAACTACATGATGTTATTCAAAAGCAACTTCTGAAACAACACTCTTTCAATCGCATAAAGACAAATTTCATGTGTGTACCTGTTTGCAGCAATCAAACAGTAATTTCTCAAAAAAGTTCTTGCTCCTGAATGATGATCTATTTTGGGCAGCTCGCTAGTCAAAGTGTCAAATTCCACAGCCTCTATTTCACACAGATCACTGGTCAAATTGTTGAATTTCACATTTTGAATTTTACAGACTCACTTTCAGTGAATTTCCCAGGTTCCACTTGAGTCGGCTCACTGGTGATGTCCTGAAGGGTGAGTGACAATCCTAGTTCATCGGTGAGTATCATGCCTGCCTCCACATGCATTGTTTTTTGCAGCTTCTCTAGATTTTCCATTGCCCGTTCCACAGTATGATTCTTGTAAATTGTATTCCCTAGTCTTTTGATCGCTTGGACAAGAATTTTGCCGGCCAGATTATAGACCTTGATTATGTGCTGTTCAGTTGGCGGTGTGGAACTGCTGAACAATCAGAAACAGAGCTTGGAGGGGAAATAGACAACTAAACTACGAATAATGTAAGTTGAGGCTATGGGTGCTGTTGAGGCTGCCCTCCTGTATAATGCTGGAGTTGGGAAGAGTTACACTAAGAAAAAGAAGTAAGGTGTGGTGTGAATTCTAGTAATTCTTAGTGAGTTCTAGGACAGGGAGGTGTTATAAAGGTCTAGTGATAATACCACAGAGTGTATGAGGAGTGGTGAGGAAGGAGGATTGTGGAGTAATGATTAAGGTTCAAAGGGTATGAGTCAAATATGCAGAGGTGGTCAAAGGATAATGTGCAAAATATGCAAGGTTTCTGAGGAATGAGTGCAAAGTATGCAAGGAGTCACTAAGGGGCAAAATATGCAAAAGAGGGGGAAAGAAAATATGACTAAATTATGTCCGGCAAGGTATGCATTGATTTTTGTATGTATGTTGTTGTATGTATATGTATCTCTATCTCTGGTTCCCTATATGTATCTCTATCTCTGGTTCCCTATATGTATCTATATATATATATATATGGGGATACAAGTGTAAGAAGGAGTACTTCTATACTCTAAGATACAAATGAGCACAGACTGTGGCAATTCTGGTTATGAGAAAGAAATGTACATATGTAGAAATAAGAGATGAGAAATGTAAACAGAAAACAAGGATGAGTTATAAAGGGGAACAAACCCAAAGAGGAGAAGGGCTGTGAAAGAGTGTACTACTGTTATCCTGAAGGGTACATGTGAAATAATGAGTGTAAAGAAAGTATCTGAGAAAATATCTGATATATGTAATGAGAAGCAACTACTGTAAAGAATGTGACTGATGCAATAAGAACAAATAATTGTGAATGAGAGTACTTGAGAAAAATCTGATGTATGAATCAATCTGTACATATGTACTATATGTAGCTACTGTGTAATGTAAATGTAAAGAAAAACATCTGTAAAGCTAAGAGTGAAAATAACTATTGATCCCATAAGAAATGAAATATGGCTTAAGTGAGTGACTATATGTAAAATGAGGTGTAGAATTTGAATATGTCATAATAATGCAGGACCAACTAGTGAACATACAGTGAGATCATAGGGGCTATGGAAAGGTATGGGTTACCACATCCTCCCCCAACTTATTGTCTGTCCCCAGACAATGCATCCAGTATGAAGATAGAGGACTTAAGAAAAAGATATAAAGAGAAAAATATAAAAGAGAAAAATAAACAATGAGGGGGGGGGGGAAGGGAATCCAAAAAAGAGGTCAATCCAAAGGAGCCATATCCAGAGTCCAGGGTTGACCCACTTCAAGGGGGAGTATCTTTTCCATCCAAGAAGGCCAAGTCCTGTATCTAAAAATAAAACCAAGGAGGTAATCTGTATCCAAAAAAGGAAAGCCAAATCCAAAGTACTGTAATTTATCCAATCCAAGAGGCAAAAATATAATCCAGACATTGATCCACTCCAAGAAGGCCAAGTCCATAGTATCCAAAAGTGAACCACCCTAAGGAAGGAGTATCTGTTCCAAACCAAAGAGGCCAAATCCAAATAAAACAAAGTTGAACCACTTCCAAGAGGCCAAGTCCAGATTCCAGGGTTGAACCAATCCAAGAAGGCCAATGTCCAGGTATCTAAAGAAAATTCTTAAAAATGGGCCTCCCAATGGAGGAATTCTGTTATCCTTTCAATGAGGCCAAGTCCAAGAGTCCTGAGGTTGAAGTTCCATCCAAGAAATCCAAAGCCAGGTGACCAAAAGAAGCTCCAAGGGGAAAGACTGAGTCCAATAGTCCAAAATAGTCCCAAGGCCAGTAAGAGAAAAAAAAGACTAATGATAATTGAACCACTTCAAGGGGGGAGTATCTGTTCCATCCAGGAAGGCCAATATCAAGAGTAAGACCTAAGTTGATCATCTTCAAGGTGGAGTATCTGGTTCCAACAAGAAGGCCAAAGTAGGTAAAAGACTTCTGAAGTTGATCCAAGTCCAGGAGGAGTATCTGTTCCATCCAGGAAGACCAATCCAAAGGTAAGACCTGAGTTAAAAGGCAGGTAAGGTTGACAAAAGGGAAAAAAATCTGAATTCCAAAGTCCGAAAGAATCTGAGTCCAATGTCCAAAGAGGAAAGTATGAGATGCCAAAAGGGAAAATCCAAAATCCAAGGTCCAGAAGGGGTCCAGGGAAGTAAGAAGGTTTCTAATAATATGTAAAAGTAATATATCCAATAAAATAAAACTATGTAAAATATCTTATATTCAATCTAACTGAGAAATCTGAGTAAATCTGGGGGTTCAATCTAATTATCCTTAATTCCGAAAAAAGGACAAGTATACACCAAAATCTGAAGGAGTTGACCCCCCACGCGTTCACACAATAAAGGTGTAATAAAGG